TGTAATACTAATGTATAGTTGACAAAATAAATTCAATTTAATAATTAACCACAATATTAAATATTTAAACATATTTATATGATAGTGTATGAAGTTAACAATTTATTTATATTAGTGAAATTAATTTAATTTTTATCCAATTTATTAAAATTAATTCTTATTAATTAAAAACATCTATTTAATATTATATTATTTTTACAAAAAAAACTATTTTTTTGTTAGCAAGAATTTCGTTATTTAAGCTAAATAAGTTTTTAAAAAGTTATTATACTGTTATTTATTTTTTAAATATAAAAATATTTTATTATTCTAAATTCATATAAATTTTTTAAGTTATTGTGACCGTGGATGAGATGAATGAATGAGTGGACACAACCAAATGATCGGTAAAACAATTTATTGTTTAAAATTAAAAAAAATACAAATAAAAATTGGTTAAAAAAATGTTGTTTGAATTGTGTTTCAGATTTTTGTCAAGTGATTGATTGCAAATTCAAGTGAAGGCTTGAATGTCAAGAAAACAGTGAGAAGTGGTGACTGAAGAGTGATTGATCAGAGAGAGAGAAAAAGTGAATTGTCGTCCACTTAAGTAGTGGACGGCCTGAAGGGTCGTCCAATGAGAGTGAAGGGTTGGTTGAAGTCTGTTGTGAGTGTGTGTGTGATCTGTGAGCCATCTAGGGTCACATCCGCCGGCCGCTAGCGTTTGGCGTATTTTCGGTTTCCTTGATTGATCCAAAACTTTTTCAAATGGAGCGCTTGTTTGACATGTGATCCTCCTTTTTGAAAGTGAATCACATTTTCCTTGTTTTTGTTTTGCTTTGTTTTTTGATGAGATTGCAAGTGATTTCAATGATGTTGCAGATGTGTTGGCTGCGATGGTGTCAGATGAATGGGTCGGATGATTGTTGACCATCATGTTGTCATTGCGGGGGATGAATGGATGCACTCTTGATGAATTTGTTGTGAATGAACGCACAACACCAGTGATGATGTCAATGTGATTCAATCGCAGACTTTCATCTCCGAGCTTTTCCAGGACAACACAAGGTGCACAAAAATGTGGTGAAAGTTCTGTGCCAACTCTTTGTTGATCTGAAATTTCAAAGGTTTGTTTGTTGACTTTGTGTTCATTTTTCTCAAGTCTTTTGATTTGCAAAGCTCTGGACTTCAATGTCGGCTGATTTCCGGCCTCTTCGAGTGTGTCATCAGTTGGAAGGGCTGTTGAAATCTCGAAGTGCAAAAATTTCGATGTGAAGCCAGTGCTGTCGCTGATGGATGTTTTGGATGAGTTGTCAATGATTTGTGATATCTGTTGGTGAGTCGGCTGAGTGAAACTTTTGTTGATTTGAATCTCTCTTTCAATCTCTTTGACAGATCCAACAATTGATTGAGAGACGACTTCCGTTGTGTCGACAATGTTTTTGATTGATTGTTTGGACGTTCTCGGTGCGGGTGTTGGTGTCTTGAGTTGGTGAAGAGAAAATGTTTTGTTTTGAACCATTGTGCCGAATTTGACCACCAGAGCAGCGGCTTTGGCCAAGTCGAGGCCAATGAGCATGTCGTGCTCCAGTTTCTCCAACACTTGAATGCTGAATTGAAATGACTTGTTTTGCAATTCAATGATTGCTTCAACGAGTCCGAGGGTACGGCCGGTGCCGTCCACATGTCGGATGGCAATTGAACGCTGGGTGTCCCACTGCAAGCCCATCCTATCAGCGGCCGATTTGGAGATGGCGCTGATTGTAGAGCCAGAGTCAAGGAATGCCTTCGCTTGTCTGCCATTGACATGAGTTGTTAACCAAATGAGATCCAGCGGATCCTCTTCATGCTTGATGTGATGAAGGCCAACTGTTTTTGGTGCATCAGTCGATTGAATGGTTGAGTTCATTGGTGAATGAATCGGCGCAACAACCTTTTCGATTGGTTGAAGGCAATGGACGCTCGCTGATGAAGCGGCGACTTTTGTTGAGGGTTTCGGCGCATCAACCTTTTTGATCGGTTGAAGGCAATTGATGCAGCCATTGGTGGAGCATCAGTTGTTGAAGTTTTAGGCGCACCACCGGTGCCTGAGATTTCGGCCCACTTTGGACACACGGACTTCCAGTGCATCTCTTTCTCGCCAAACAGTTTGCAGACTGGGCATGGGCCAGGTGGTGGCTTGTTGTCGAACTTCTTTGGATCTTTTGTCGGAGACTTTTTGCTGTCGTTGTCTGTGTCCAGATGGTTGATTGGTGTGATCTTTGTTCTGGGGTTTTGAGAGCGATCTTTCCTCACTTTCAAACTTTCTTCGATTGATGTGGCTATTGCGAACCATTCCTCAGGAGTCTTTGGTCGTTGAGACGCGATTTGTGTTCGTGTCATTGTTGATGTGATCCCGTGGTTCAGCATTGCCACTTGATTGTAGTCTGATTGTTCGGCCAAATCCAGGAGTCGCTTCTTGTCGTTGAAGTACGACTCGATGGTCTCGTTTTGTCTCAACTCACGTTCCATGGCCTCAGTCAATGGATGACGGATGACACGGGCGAACCGGTTCATCATCTTCTCTTTGACTTCAGCCCATGTGATTGAGTCGGCTTGTGGTGCTATTTCACGCACCAGAAATCTCATTGCCTCTCCTGTGACATGGCGTCCAAGTGCTGTGATGCGGTCGTCATCTGAGAAACCACGTGTGACCAACGTGAAGAGAGCCAACCAATCATCGGCTTTGACCAATGGATCGCTGCCTGAGAATGTGTCGCAGAGTCGGCCAGTGTTTCTGGATCTGCTGTGATTCGATTGATTGTCCTCTTCATCGTCGTTGTTGAAGACCATGTGTTGTATGGCGTTGGCGCTAGCATTTCTTCTCTGTTGTTGTCCACGTGTTTGAAGTCCATGTGAACCTGAAGCGGAAGTCAATGCTGTTGGCGACGC